GCCATTTTTCCCCCCCATTGTTTGTTGGTTGAAGGCTGACGAATATTGGTTAACACACACACACACACACATGTAGTCTGGAACTGCTGGAATATACGGTAAACTTAATATGTGACGACAACATTTTAGACCAAAACCCATCCCTCTCCACACCAAACCAATTAAATATCGGCAACACCCCTGTTGTCGTTTGTTTCATTATTCCACGCTTTATTCCGCCTCGCTATCCTTCCAGCTGGCAGATTGAGTTTTTCTTTGTCAATTCTCACGAGCTCCCGCGCCACGAACCATCTTATTCCTCCTTTTCTCCTTCACTTTAGCTAGTTCTTTTTTTTTTCTTTTTTTGAGTAACACTTTAGCTAGTTTTATTTATACTTCAATTCTCACGCAAATTTGATCTCTCTGTCTCTCTCTCTGTTTTTTTTTAAACTTCTATTTTTTTACCCTCAGGCTATAGCCAAGAGACAATTACAGAGAGGGCGGGACGGACGAGCGACCGGCATGGAATTACTTCCGCTTTAATCACTAAATACGATGCTTCGGTTTGGGACGAGCGAGTATATATAAATTCGCACATAAAGCCAAGAACCGAAATACGTATATAATACTATTTCATACAATGATTTCATTACTATTGAAAAGTAGTTATCGGGTTAAACGAACTTGAAGTGTCTGGAAAAATGAGGAAAGTACGTGTAAGCATGCGACGACGAGAAAAGAAAACAGAGCTAGGGAGCTATTAACAGGGAATAAGTTTGTTAAGGAATAAGTGGTGGAATCATAATTTTAAAAATTAGGAAAACATGCAGGCGAGTTAAGAATCAATTAATCAGATAATCAGATAATTGAGCAGTTCCAGAAATGGGATGGGAAGTGTTAGGAAGCTAAAATAATCCTATATAGATATACTCCTATATAGATGATTAATTAAGATATTGAGGAGCGAGTGGAAAGGAGAGACAGCTGGGACGACTTCTTAAATGGAGTGTCAGGGGCGGGGCATCATCCAATCGCAATTTTAATGATTGCCAGAATGTATAATTATATGATGATTAAGCCGCCGTTGACGTTGATGTTTTGCTACTGTGCGTTAGACTATCATCTTACGTTGCTTATTTAATACTCCTTCCATTTCTGTAACCAGTGCAAATTAAGTACCTACTTTTATAAAATAAGGCAGGACAACTTCTCTATGATATCCTCAACAAAACTAGCTCTAAATTATGTATTAATGGGAGAACATTTGTCTCTTATTTAATGCGGACCCGAATAAAATATTTACTATTTTTTTAGAAGAAGTAAATTTTTTTGTATAATGAAAAAAAATTATATTTTCGTAGAAAAAGAAAGGGAGGAATACAAATCGCTGTAGAAGACAGAATGGTAAAGTAAGCCAGGGGAAACAGCCAAGGCTCCCCAGTGTGCAGCGTCGTTTTTTGGTTTGTTATTTGGCTTCCGAATTCTAAGAGTGGACACCACAATAACTCCTGCGGGGACCCATCCCCGCAATGCAGACAAAACGCGGCAGCACCATAGGATAGCCCAGAAGTCAGGCTGCTCATTCCATTTGGTCTTTAATTTAACGGCGGCTTCAAATAATTGTGTTTTATGGTCATAATATATACTACTTGTAAGCGGGCTGTTGCGCAGTCCGCTTCACCAGTCACCGTCACTGTGAATGTGTATCATTCTTATGCAACGGAGCACTGTCCTCCTGATATATCGGCGTTTCATTCCATTAATTAGACTCGCCGGAATAACCAAAAGTGGCCGGGCAATGTCATGCATGAAGAGAAGGGAGATGTGTTGTCTTTGCATGAAAATGCAGGCAGGGGTCATTGTTTACTCAGCAAGACGCCTTCCCCAGCTGCGATGTGGTTTATGTTTAGTTTGTTCTCAGGCCTGCTGGACACATGCCGCTACAAGAAAAAGACAGTGTTACGTGTGTGATGCATAATTAATGTGGGGGATTAAGGTGTTTTTCAATTGGGACGCAACATTGAGGCTTGAAGGACTTTCTCATTGCCACTCCCGCCCTTCAGCTTTCCCCGGCTTCTTATTCAGCCACCATTTTATTTTTTCGCGCATGACGTCAAATGACAGACTGGCAAAATACTACAAAATTCAATAATATAATACAGGAGTTTGCCCTAAACCCTGTGTATATGGCGGTAAGTATTTTCACATTTGTATGTGCGTGAGAACCAGACCCACTTTAATAATTTTATGTCCGTCGAATTCAATGCAAGAGTTTAATTTTGTCGTTTATGGATGCTTGAAAATACGAAACTCTCCAACCAACTCTTGATTGTGCGTGCGTATTATGGATGCATTAGCTGGGAATCAATTTGAGGGACATATAAAATTACGATCATGAATAATATTTGGAAAGTTAAAAGAGCATTATAATACATTCGGTTCTTAATATAAGAATTGGTTAACTAATTTTAATATATTAAGAAAATTATTTAAGTTAGTTATTTACAATAAATAATTGTTGTCTTTCCTAAAATATCCTTACTAGTTATATGTATTCGCAAGAATTATCATTTGATGAAATATTTAACATATGCAACACTACATGGATTAGATATGAGAGAGAAAACGGATTGAGATTTTAGATTTAAAACCAAATTGAATATCAAATTAATTTTTATATTAAAAACATTAGGTAGTATATTAGGAAATGCATGAGGAAAACAGATCATCCCGATGAGGAATAAAGAAGTAGCGTCGTCATTATTGATGAAAAGAACAAAAGATGAAAAATGATGGTGTTGAACTGATCGTGTCACGGAGGGCTTAAGTTACTAGGAAATGTAGTTATGTATGAAAAAATAATGCTAGTAGTTGCCGACGCCAGGTTTTTTTTTTTTTTGGTTGCTTTTTTCGGTGGGGCGAGTATGGTTCCGATGAACTGAAAACCCGAAAACAGGGGCTTGGGGCGACGCGTGTGCTCGGAAGACTGCCCCACCGTCACCAATTCGGGTGGGACCACCCCTCTTGTTTGTCATGCTCCTAGAAGGTTTTGTTATTGCCTTGTTAACCACAGAACCGGGTTTTTGTTACTGTTTTGTTATTTTCGTTTTAGGACGAATTATTCACAAATTATTGTATAAGCAAAGTATTTGAGATGGGACTTGAGAGGAGAGGCCCTGTTATGTAATCGAACAGGTGCATGGGAATTTACTAGCACTAACCGTCAAGAGGGGAAGAGAAATTGAGAAGGGAAGGGAAAAGAGGAGAAGGGGATTTCTTTCTTTGTTTTTTTTTTTTTTTGGGGGGGGGGGTTGACTTGAGAATGAAGCTCACAGGTATCGAAGCTGTCAGTGGAGTCATCATAAACACTCTTCAATACACCTGCCCCATTTATGCTCCTCCTTTTTCCTCTTCCTTCCATTCCACCCTAACCCCTCACTATTCTTCCCTCTCTTTCTTGCATCCTATCATTCCCTGCATCTGCATCATTGATAATCACCCTAATTGACCCCGTATTCCCACCAAGAATAAAATAACTTCTCTGTTCATTTAACATCGGCGTTATTTGTTCGGTTCCTCATGTATACTTCCAGGCTCCCCACCATGTACCCATATAATGTCTCTAAAATCTCTGCTTACCGCCACAAAACTTCACTCCCCCCGGTTCAAACTACACCGTCTCACCACCAAATCAATTCGCTTACACTCTACGGCATTTAATTCCTTCTCATAAAACCTAATGACAAAACCACTTTACATTTAGAGGGTGTTTGGATGGTTTAAGAAGTACTTTTCTGAAAGTATTTTTTTATAAATCGAGATAAACTCTTCTATATATTTGCTTCGCATATCGTAAAATTATTTCTGAAACCATGATTTAATTTCCATCCAAACACCTTTTTGGTACTAATTCAACGTACTAGCAATTTGTTCATATAAAATTCACAAAAAAAGTCAGGTCCTTATAAATGCTTTTCTCAGCTGGTAAGCATACGGGTGCAGCGGGAGGCTCCGCTTTTCCACGTGGACGCTCTGGCTTTTCTTTTCTGAGATTCTGTTCCATGTGCGGCAGCAAGGGAAAAAAAAAAAAGAAAAGAAAAGAAAAGAAAAAACGTCGAAGAAATCCTCCCAGACGGAACGAATACATACGGCATGCACTTTCAATTCAGAACCTGCAGCTCCAAACCTACGTGTCGCGCGTCGTTTTCCCTTACAGCCCAAATACAATATTCCATCTCCCCTTCCTCTGCCAACCGATCATGTCGTCATCTAATCCATCTTAACAAATCAGAAGCCTTAGACATTAGTTTCGGCGACCAGGAACACAACCCTTTTATATATTGGATCCCCCCATGATTATATTATAAGCTCTTATTAATAGGAGCAATTTTCTCTCTGTTTTGTTTTTTGGAGTTCGGGGAATGTTCACTTGACGTTGACTCACAAGAAAACAATCAATGCACAAGGAACAGCCTCTTCAGATTTGTCATTTGGCGAGCATACGAGTACGAAATTTGGCCCAAAATATCTGCCCGATGAAGTCGCGGATTTTCTTTTTAGGGATTTATTGACAGAAAATAAAAGGGAAGCCTTAAGTAAAAAGGCGGGCAGGGGTAATGCGTAAATTTGGTTGGGAGGTGTGAGAAGAAAGCCGCCAGGTCATGGAGAAGGGGAACGAAGGCAGCTTGGCTACATAACAAATTAGTGAGCTGTACAGGATTGAAGGCCAGTGACGGTGGTCCATAGTCGTATTAGTCACACTTTTCTCCCATTTTTATACTACTAATAATCTCACATTTATTCTCATTTTATTATTCTGATGATTTCCGATCCCTTGTCCAAATCTCAACCTGTCCCCTTCCCACCTCGGTAACTTCCACTTCGCTTCTCAACTTTCTCCATCGACTCCCCCCCCCCCTCCTTCATTTCCAGCGCTCATCCACCCCGGTCTCCTCCTTTATTCGTATCATTCCTCTCTCTGTCTCCATCCCATATCTTGCCTCAAGCAAAAATGTACACATCAATTTAAAGGTGACGAGTTTTTGGAGCTTTACCAACGTCCTGCTTTTTAAGTGACACCTAATTCTGAGCTTACCCACCAAGTTCATCTCCGGAACATCCTCATTTGCCGATTCTGTCTGCTGCTGCAGCCGCTGCTTCAACAGCATTATCCGAGTCGTTTTTGTGCCTTCTCATTCTTTCCGGTAAGCCCATTTCACTCACCCTTCGTCCTTTACTTTTTCGCTTTACCGCGCCATGCTCTTTCTTATTCTTCTCTCTCCCTGTTTTTTCTTCGTCAGTTATGGTTTTTTGCCTCGCACATTCTCGTTAAATATCCAGCTCCTGATTGTTCCTTCTTGCTTCCGGTTTCGTTACATATATGTATTTTTTTTACCGAACTGGATATTTTTTCTTTGTCGGTGATGCTCTGTTCCTATTTCCGTTTTTTCGGGTTAGTTGGAATGGAATCGTGTGAATTCCAATTCAGCCATTTATCTGTCGGCGGTTTTTTCCTCATCGGATTTTAAAATTTTCCACAAGATCTCTTACCGGCAATTTCAATGTTTGGAGATGTCCTAGAATCGCCTGCTCTGGCCCATATCTTATTTTTCACTTCTGTAAAATCTGACTGCATAATTTGGATCTAATTTGAGCAACTGGGATTGCGAGCTATAAATATTCACTGAAGACTATTTACCACACCCACCCTCTTTGCCTCACGTCACTTCATTTTCTCCCGAGTTTTTGCACTGAAAGTATTTCTCGTGTTTTCGCGTACGGCTGGTTACAGCATGTGTTATATTCGTAGACTTTCGAGATTCGTCTTAGGCCATTAATAGCAGAACTGCTCAGTAATCATATCTTCAAGATCCCAGTGGCGCAAAAAGAGGGGGAAACTTGGTTCATTGCCTACGTTTGTTGCTCTGCCACACTGCACCCTACGTCGGAGCATTGCGTGAATATAATAGTCGGAGTCAATCGGTGACGAGTTTTTGAATTCAAGCAACGCGTTGTACTTTCCTTTTTGCTTCCTGGGCAAGAATATTGGATTCAATGTGCTGTCAGCACCGAAGTTTTACTGACAACAGAAAATGATGATCATTTACATTTCAGGGTGTTGCGCGTAAAACCTGGAAGACATTATTGGGCCCTCCTAGCTGCCGTATTCTTGCGAGAATTTCACTGCTCAGGATAATGCTCATCAAGCAAACTCCGTAGCCGTCGAAAATTGAGGCTGTCCCGTCCTGTGTTGCTTTACTGATACCGTTGCGAATTTTGAGGTATGTTTTCATTCGTGGATGAAGAGTCAATTCAGTTTCTCATGAATGTTCTTTTGCGGGCTGTTTTATCAACATCATTCCATCTAGTATCTGTGAAGGCGGTAATATGATAGCATTTTGTGTAACGATGGCATTATGACACTGTATTCTGTACTTTCCCGCCATGAGAATCTAGCACTGTGGGAATAATCCGCCTCTAAACTTCGATGTTTCAGATGGACCGGCGGTGGCCCTGGAAGAAAAAATCATCTGATAAGGCAGTGCTTGAGAAAGCTGCTGCTGCATTGGACTCTGTTAGTGCTCCTTCCCAGGGCAATCAGGTGACTTTATTAGCATTTCCTCAAAAGAAAAAACAGAGTCGATGGCCTGCGTCGAGAAAATTTTCATATAGAATTATTCGTATTAACGTATTAATGTTACTAGTTTTTAACATCTCTTGCATTTTGTCTCACTAATTTGTTACAGCAAGATATTTTAAATGTTCAAATTTTCCTTCCGCAAGTCTCCTGTTTGTTTGCCCGCATTCGGCTTTTATGAATCTTATTTTTCTTTATAACATCTTCAACCATATTTCTCTCCTAAATATTTGAATGAACATTTGGAGTGCTATAGCTTGATGTTTGTTTTAGCTTCCTCGCATAAACTATGCGTGTGGTCTTTTCTCTCTTTAGCACCTGTAAATTTACATGACTTGCGGCTCTTTCGTTAGAAGTTTTGATTACTTGAATGCTTTTCTGGTTTCCTCGGCTTAACAATGCTAATTGCGTGTATTTTTCTTCTTTTCTCACGTGTTCCTGTCTTGTTCAAGCAGGATAATTACAAAAAGCCAAACTATGTTCAAATTTCTGTGGAGTCATATACACATCTGACTGGTTTGGAGGATCAAGTGAAGACGTATGAGGAAAAAGTTCAGACTCTGGAGGATGAGATCAAGGAGCTGGATGAAAAGCTGTCAGCAGCAAATTCAGAGATGACAACCAAGGAAAACCTTGTAAAACAACATGCAAAAGTAGCTGAAGAAGCTGTCTCTGGTATGCTTTTTTAATGATGGAACTACGTACTACCTGGAAGATTTTCAAACTTCAATTTTGCGTCAATTCTGAGGGCTTGTTATTGTTCTTGAATTTAGAGTTTAATGATATCCTACTGGCGCAGGATGGGAAAAGGCTGAAGCAGAAGCTTTGTCATTGAAGAATCATTTAGAATCTGTTACTCTTGCAAAACTCACTGCAGAGGATCGTGCGTCGCATCTAGATGGTGCTCTTAAAGAGTGCATGCGACAGATAAGAAACCTGAAGGAAGAACATGAAGAGAAAATACAAGAAGTTGCTCTCTCTAAAACCAAGCAGTTGGACAAGATTAAGGGGGACCTTGAGGCAAAGATTGATAACTTAGAACAGGAACTCCTAAGGTCAGCTGCTGAAAATGGGGCGCTTTCAAAGTCCTTGCAGGAGCGCTCCAACATGCTGATAAATATAAGTGAAGAAAAGGCTCAAGCTGAGGCTGAGATTGAGCTTCTGAAGAGCAACATAGAATCATGCGAAAGAGAAATCAATTCGCTTAAATATGAACTTCATCTTGTTTCCAAAGAGCTTGAAATTCGCAATGAAGAAAAGAACATGAGCATGAGATCTGCAGAAGCTGCTAACAAGCAGCATACGGAGGGGTCAAAAAAATTGCAAAATTAGAGGCAGAATGCCAGAGATTACGTGGTCTGGTGCGGAAAAGTTGCCCGGTCCTGCAGCACTTGCACAGATGAAGCTAGAAGTTGAGAGTCTTGGCCGAGATTATGGAGAAAATCGACTAAGGAAGTCTCCTGCCAAGCCTGCCAGTCCTCACATGTCTCCTCTGCCTGACTTCTCCTTAGAGAATGCACAGAAATTCCAGAAAGAGAATGAATTTCTTGCGGAGCGTTTATTGGTAATGGAAGAAGAAACTAAGATGCTCAAGGAAGCTTTGGCTAAACGTAACAGTGAATTGCAGGCCTCAAGAAGCATGTGCGCAAAAACCTTACGGAAGCTTCAAAGCTTGGAAGCTCAACATCAAACATGTAACCAGCAAAACGGATCTCCAAAATCCATAACCCCGATTACCCATGAAAGTATATATAGTCACAGTGCAAGCTATGCACCAAGTATAACCTCCATATCTGAAGATGGAAACGATGATGCGTTAAGCTGTCCCGAGTCTTGGGCTACAGCATTAATCTCTGAGCTCTCCCAATTTCGAAAGGAAAAGAAGACTGAGAAATCAAGCAAACCTGAATCCACTAATACGTTGGAATTAATGGATGATTTCCTGGAGGTGGAAAAGTTGGCTCATCTATCAAACAAGTCAAATGGAGATACCTCTGCCTCAGTTTCTTCGAACAAGACATCTGAAGTTGTGACCAATGATGTATCACATATCAATAATGGCAGGGATGATTCTTCTGATAAACAGATTGTTTCAAATTCATTGTCAAATCCGGAGACTTCTGCTCCAGAGTTATCAGTACCTCATTCTGGATCTGATGATGGGTTTTCATTTACAGAGCTTCAATCAAGAATATTATCAGTATTCAAGTCCATGCCTAAGGATGCTGATAAAGGAAGGGTCCTGGAGGATATTAAACATATTTTGGAGGATGCACGAGACACTTATGTCCAGCACCCTTCAGGTTGCATTTCTCAGGCTGTTCCGCAGCTCCAGCCTTCTGATTCTCCATGTGATAGGCATGTTAATCCTGAAGATGCTGGCCTAAGTGTTGAAGAGGATTCCACTTCATCCCAGCAAGCAACAGAATGTGTGCAGATAACTTCAAATATAGAAGCTGCAATTTCTCAGATTCATGACTTTGTATTGTTCTTAGGCAGAGAAGCTATGGCAGTTCGTGACACATCGTGTAATGTAGATGGCATGAGCCAAAAGATTGAGAATTCTCTGTCACTTTCAATAAAGTTCTATGCAGTGAAGCAAGTTTGTCGCATTTGTTCTTGACTTGTCTTGTGTTTTAGCCAAAGTGAGTGAGTTCAGATTTAATGTCCTTGGCTACAAGTGTACAGAAGCTGAAACTAACAGTCCTGATTGCATTGACAAGATTGCCTTGCCAGAAAATAAGTTACCTCGAGGGTTCACCGGGAGAGAGATCTCAAAATGATTGTTCTCATATTCTAAATCCTCGTTCTGATCCTGAGGTTCCTGATGATGGAAATCTTCTCTCAGCCTATGAACCAAGTGCTACATTCAAAAAATTCTCAGTGGAGGAGTTTGAAGAATTGAAGTTACAGAAAGAGAAGGCAGCAATGGATCTGTCAAGATGCACTGAAAGTCTTGAAATGACGAAGTCTCAATTACTGGAAACTGAGCAACTTCTGGCGGAAGCTAAATCACAATTGGCTTCTACGGAAAAAAATCAAATAGCTTGGCTGAGACACAGCTGAAGTGTATGGCAGAGTCATACAGGTCACTTGAAACACGTGCCCATGAGTTAGAAACTGATATAATTCATTTGCGAGCTAAGACTGAAACTCTGGAGAATGAACTTCAAGATGAAAGCGCGGTCATGAAGATGCTTTGGCCAAGTGTAAGGAGCTAGAAGAGCAATTACCAAGGTTGGAAGCCCGTCCATTATGATATTGGTTATCATTATTCTGAGTTATTTTGTGTTCTAACTGCAGGAATATGTGCCCGGTGTTGATGGCGTTTTAGTTGGTGTTGGGCTTCATATCTTTAATTTGATTGACAGGGTTAATTGTGCACACCTTTTTCCTTGTATCATAACCTGTAACAATTGTCATTACTAATGTTTTGTCTTCTTTTTCTGTCAGGAATGAGAGTTCAGCAGCTGATAGTGACCAAAAGCAAGCAGGTAACATTGTAGTTCCCTTGTGAAAATGGATTGCGATGTGGATGTACATCTAATATAGCCATATATGAAAGAAAATATGAAAACGGGTGACATTTAATATCCAGTGATAGTTAAAAATACGATAATATGCATTTCATTCTCAATCCAAGTCATACAGGTCACTTGAAACACGTGCCCATGAGTTAGAAACTGAGATAATTCATTTGCGAGCTAAGACTGAAACTCTGGAGAATGAACTTCAAGATGAAAAGCGCGGTCATGAAGATGCTTTGGCCAAGTGTAAGGAGCTAGAAGAGCAATTACCAAGGTTGGAAGCCCGTCCATTATGATATTGGTTATCATTATTCTGAGTTATTTTGTGTTCTAACTGCAGGAATATGTGCCCGGTGTTGATGGCAGTTTTAGTTGGTGTTGGGCTTCATATCTTTAATTTGATTGACAGGGTTAATTGTGCACACACCTTTTTCCTTGTATCATAACCTGTAACAATTGTCATTACTAATGTTTTGTTCTTTTTCTGTCAGGAATGAGAGTTCAGCAGCTGATAGTGACCAAAAGAGCAAGCAGGTAACATTGTAGTTCCCTTGTGAAAATGGATTGCGATGTTGGATGTAGCATCTAATATAGCCATATATGAAAGAAAATATGAAAACGGGTGACATTTAATATCCAGTGATAGTTAAAAATACGATAATATGCATTTCATTCTCAATCCAGGTGTCCTGAATGAATGTTAGACGAGTCGAAAAATCTGATTGAAATCTTTTGTTCACTGCAGGAGAGGGATTTGGCGGCTGCTGCTGAAAAGCTAGCTGAGTGTCAGGAAACCATTTATCTTCTTGGCAAGCAGTTGAAAGCTTTGCATCCTCAAACAGAGCAAAATGGATCTCCATACAATGAAAGAAATGCAAAGGTCGAAGGCTTCCCGGAGTATGAACCTACAACTAGCAGCCCAAATTTGCAAGAATTAGGTCAGGTCGAGTTGGAGAATGCTACTTCTGCATATTTGCAGAAGTTGGGCGGGGGATCGCCTCTGCACTTCTCCAGCACCGTCTACAATCCATCGGACAATGAAGCAAGCCGTCCAGATAGATCGCCGGTGAGGCCTCGAAACATAGGCCAACGATGTCAACCTCCTCATCTGCCTCCTCCACTCCTACACCAGAGAAGCACGCACGAGGCTTTAGTAGATTCTTTCATCGAAGGGAAGGAACGGTCACTAAGCATGCAGCTCGCAGGCTGTGATAATTCAGATTTAAGACCATAAGGTGACCACAGATTCACAATTGATAAGTCTCGTCGGCCCTTTTCGAGGACTTTTGGATTGTTTGTGTATTAGGGAAGAACGTCGTTCAAACTGATTCCCAGATTTATAAGGAAAAATCCAATTAAATCCAACCAAAATATTTAAACTCAAATCGAGGTGTATACTTTTAATAATTTCTAATCAGAATGAGACCTATTAGGGATTACAGAATGTTAACTGTTAAGTGATCATAATGCCTTTCTTTAGGTTTAAAAATAAAAATTGATTATTTATCTCTCTAAGGGATTCACCATCTCTTATTATTAATATTTAGACAAAAAAATGTAAATAATTTTCAATGTTTGAAATTTATGTATAACTAAAACCTTCAAAATATTTTCATAAAACATTCAAATTATAATATAAGTAGTCTTTAAATAAATATTTTTTTTTCTTTTAAGTTTTAAATATTTATTTTAAGATTTTAAAATATTTTAATTATAATAAATATTTAGTATTAAGTTGTAATAATTTATGTTTTCAGTTGGATCCAACATTACTTAAATAAATAAAATTAACTACTGAAATTATAAAAACTGAAAATAAAAAATATTTATTTAAAGTTTACTTATATTTGTAATTTAACATGTTTTATTAAAATATTTTTAATAGTGTAAGTTGTATTACAAATTTCAAACGTTGTAAAATCAATTATATATTTTTTGGTCTAGAAAATTTCTAAGAGATGAGGGTCACTTGAGAGAGGTCCAATAATAATTTTCCTTTTGAATTAAATAAGTACATTCTGATATTTAACAATATTCAGAAATTTCTAATTAAGTCTCATGGTCTAATTAAAAATTTGTTAAAAGTGTAAGTTTAAATCCAAATTTAGGTATTTTGACCGAATTTGATTGGTATTCTCCTAATTTATAATAACGTTAACATTATAATAAATAATAAAACCATCTATTGCCTATTACAGGTCACCCGAATTAAGTATGTAACCTTAATTTGTCTAATCATCAAACCGATTGCACTTTGAATTGAATGGCAATAATTAGAATAAAGCATGGTGCGTCCCGCGGTTGCAATTCGCGACCATATTTCAAAAGAAAAAAGAAAAAAGGATCAGATGAAATTAATATATATAAAAGATACGTCACGATTGTATGATTTCCAACATCAACGCAACAATTAGCTAGGCTATTTGCACCTCTTATGGTGGCCTATACACACACATATAATCTTCAAATGCATATGCATGTTAGTTTTCTGTATCTATAATCATAGTTTGACTATTTTTGTCCCATTCATTAAAAGCACTAAAGCAGATTGGGAAGCAGTTTTGGTACACTCTAAACTCATCATATCTGGATTGTTCATATTTTATTTGGATGGTTTGAATTTGATTTTTTTTATTTATTCAAAATGATTATTTTAATGTATATAATTTAAAATAGAGATAATCTCTTAACTATTATTTTTTCAAAAAATAATTTTTATTTAAAAATAAATAATTAAAAAATTTAAATTAACCGTTCAAATAAGATATAAATGGTTCAAATATGATAAATTTAATGTGCTTATCAAGTTGATGAATACTGAAATTGGTTTCGGTCAAGACTAGCACTCCTTGGAAATCAAGCATTGTTGTATAATTAATTAAGGCTAGCGTCAAATATTTATTTGACCCTTGGACAGTAATTGTAAGCCATTCAAAGGATTGGCCGCGCTCACTTGGTTCAGTGTATTAAACCTCAACGGTGTAATTTGTTTGGCTAGCCTCGGATTTTGTGATGCCAATGTTGTCGTCTTCTCCTGATTACCTCCTAAACCTAATTCTTAAAAGACGTTACCGAGTAGTGAGTAGTCCCGAATCCATAGTGTGTTTGGCAGGATCTTGCCTATTTCTTTCATTCTTTTGTTTGTTAGAATAGGTTTTAGTAGAGTTTTTCTGTTTGTATGGTTGAACTTTCTCTTATCTTTCTCTTAGGTCTTATTTACAACTCTTTCATTTTTCACATGCCACTTCTGGTCTTAATTATAAGACCTAATTTTAGTCTACAAACTAGGTTTTACAGTTAAGACCGGAGGTAGTATTATCATTTTGATCTTTTTCCAAAATTTAAAAAAAAAAAAACCAACAAGGATTGGGTTTAACAGAAGGGACTAATCTCTCACAATGTAGCAAACCATCAATCAATGTTTGAATTCCCACTAGGAGAGGTACACACATTTAGTATTCAATAGTACTTCAAATAGAATTGTCTCCAACAACATACCTATACTTTAGGAATTTTTTTTTTTTAATGAACATTACTGAGTAGTCACTTTTTATGGTGAGAAGTCAAATAACGCAGAAGTACACGAAACCTATAATGTCATGTTCACTGGATCATATATTCATATATAGGGTCACGGACACGGTCAGCACAATTTTTCTTAAAAAAATCAATATTCAACATCACACACACATATAATTAGCTAGATGCCGGAACTACAACTACTCGTTCTTTCCTCTTTTTGTTTTTTTTTTCCCCTGTGGGTCTCAAGTCGGCGGGCCATCTCATAAGCCAGTACAATTTTGTTGGAGTCGAACTGATCGTAGCTACCGAGTGGAATAATACAGGTGACTTTTCACACAAACCCACCATTCAGGGAGACCCAGAAAACAAAAGCGAGCTTCAATGTCAGGTATTATTGAGTGGTTCTCCGTTGAATTTTTTCCAAGGATAGGAGCCGAAGTATGATAAGAAGTCAAAACTTAAAACTACGCACTAACATGGCAGTGGTCTTCAAATCTTAACCATCTGCCCTGCATGCAGTGTGAGGGTGACACGCAAGTGAGAAAAATATAACAACAGTGAACCCTATACTTATTTCGCCTACATTCAGTAACACTACAGAATTACAGAGACATAGAAGAATTGTGCAGAATCTTGAAAATACAAAGCAACAAACTGCGAAAGGAAAAAGAAAAGAAATTGAAGACGTCGCTGCCAAGTTGAATTTCGCTGCTCCTGTCCAGACATTCCGTTTTCATGTTCCCGTTGGGAGTGATTTCATCACAGATCTAACAACGATAACGGTGAAACATGCAGTGCCCCAAAAAGACAACCTCGGCATTGAATATTCGAAAACAAACAAAACCCTCGAAAGTTGAAACAACTGATTTCTCAAAAGTTGATTCAGTTGTTTGTGTGATGCAATATCGTATATGACAGAACGACTTTAATTTAATAATTTATTTCCCAGAAAACAAAGGACTACTATTAGTTCTCCATAGGGTGCATTGGCATTACACTAGCCAGCTTCTGCCTCCACCACTGCATGAAAATTGGTAAGCTAATTTCTAGATCTACAGACAGTCTAATCCCATAACAAGATTTCATGGGGTTAATCTGTTGAGGTGAGAGTTGCTACTTTAAAAGAACAACCTCTTACAATATAAAACAAAAGAAGCAGAGAAAATAAAGTGAGAGAGCAGTGAGGCAGCTCCATGTATAGCCCGTGTCTCCTTAGTTTGATGTACATTTTCATCCAAGAGTGGAGGCGAGGGACTCAAAGGCGTCTTCCTCACAAGGGATTGTGAGTCCCCTGTCGTGATCAAACCCGAACTCTTCTTCGGCTTGAAGGAGAAGGCTTTGGAACTCAGGGCGGCTTAGAAATGAAATTGGGACAACGTATCTACTTCTGTTTTCTCCGACATATATAACAAAGTGACCCTTGGGCACGTCCATAGGCAAGCCTTCTTCAACATACCCTCGTTTCCTCCCCAAGCTCGAGCATCTCTTTAGAATTTGCTTCAGAACTGCGGTCTGAGGGAGTCTGCTGGGCTTCTTCAGAGCCATTATGGATTCAGAATGCTGATCTGATGTGTCTGGTGAATCTGGAGAGAGCTCCGTAAAATTGCAGAGATGGTGGGAGAGAACGAGAGGATCTGTAGGTTTTTATGGTGAGATTCAGAGGAGGGAAGGAAAGAGAAGAACAGAGTTACCAGTTATGTGAAGCTGGGGTGCCGCAAAGGACAAGTATGGGGTTTTCCCAAGACAATGTCGAGATGGGTGTTTTGGGGTTTATCGTGAGCTGAAGGACATGATGTTGCCCTTCTAGAGGACAGCCCGGTCCCTTCTTTAGTCTTCAAATGATATTTTTGTCAAAGCGTACGGTACTAAAATGTAACATCCCTGCAATTTCCAATGTTGCCTTTTACCGGTTCTCTCCCAAGGCATTTTTACGCAGTAAAGATGAAACCAAATGTTGAAACTTGAAACCGTCCCCAACCCTTTTTCTCACAAAGCATTGCAATTGTAATATTCAGCTTCAGCCCCATCACCTTTAACTAATACTATATGTAAAAAGGACGTTGTCCTTGCCCCCTTCTTTTTAATGGCACCAGTCCGCATCGTTCCGAGTACCGAAATTACAGAATTGCCCCTGGCGGAGTTTTCTATTTTCCTGTTTCGGCTGAGGTTCCTTCCCCCGGGTCGTACGGGGACGGTGACTCCTCATGGCCCTGGTTCCAATTGCTATTGGCGATGACAGAACGTCCGAATTTGATGGTTTCAACTTGATACAGACCTGGAGGTCAAAAAAAAAAAAAAAAACTCGACGCAAACCTTCGCAACTACATAAATAAATCCTTATTAGTCCTGTCATTTTACGCCCAAAAAGAAGAAAATTCGAGAAACCTAATCCCCATGGCCAATCAAGTTGCACGAGATCGAGAGTGGTGGTCATATGACAAATTCACATGCATTCATGTCTTGCAAACAGCAGCGGTCTACGTTATAGTACTGTCCTTCCGTCCCCTTCTTTTCTAGCTAGCTTCCTCTGAGACATGGGAGGCCTACCTATGTGACTGCTCCGTTGCAGTAATAACCTACCTCTGTGCACATTTATAGTCTTAAAGCAATTAACATGGTCATCTATCTTTTAAACTTTTGCCACAATTGAATTGTTTGCAGAGAGCGGCCTGTGATCGCCGCATTGCCATATTGTTACTTCACACAGATCGCATTGATTGCGATGTTCCCCTTTATGTATGTGACTTCATTTCTCTCGCCCAGGACCAAGAGGGGCTAGCGACGCAAATTGAAATGCAGTTAAAGCCACGACCAGAAGTAGAATTAGAATATGCAACCATTCAGAAGGGTATGGGCGTTAAATCCAAAAGAACGTCTGCCGTTATTGTTAAGAGAAGATATTTGATGGACAAATATATGAATATATTATGAGGGTTTTAGTAAATAGGGGAAGAGAAACACGAAAATTGAGACCAGTTGAGAATGGAAGCGCCACATGCTCATTTTGTTGCCTCTGTATAGACACGGGGGATGGATTGTAGAGTGGAGGATAACGTGGTCCTGTACGTCCCCTTTCATAATCACACACGCCACTAGCCAGCAATGCAGCTACAGAAACACAAGTTCGCTGTCATAATTAATTGGTTCTGACCATTAAATGATGACAACCAAACCATTACCAACTGATGACCCAAATGTCTACTGAGAAGGAAAGACCTACGTACAAACGCACTTTGCCATCCCATTCCCCATGTTCCAAGGCCAACAAAGTGCCACCGACTAATACGACACCGTACTCTTACCGCTCCTTCGCCTTCGCCTTTATTATTTGAATTGAACTGAACATAATAGGATCTATTTTGTACTGGAGAAAAAATCCCCATGCAAACGCATTACTTGACGAATGCCTTGTGAGTGTCTCAAGTAAATACGTCAGGATTCGTCTATGGCTGACCAGCATTAATTGCATGTTTTATGTCATCCTATTCCTATGCCGGCTGCATCACATGTACACCTTTCACTCCAAAAATACATATATAGTGTCCAGAGTGGCTGTGAAAATGGTGTGGATCAATTCACGCCGCTCCTCTTTCTAGCTTCTTCTTCTGTCATTTTTAATAATGAGTGGTTGTTTTATCAATAGGGAAAAGAAAATGCTGACTGGATGTGTGGAAGTTTCTTGCCATGCATCTTATGCTGTTTAATTTTATGTTATGAAAATTTGTATGAATGTGCATACAACCCCGTGGCTAAACAATCGGGGATAACAGTGTATATGTATGAGATAAGAAATACACGTAGCTACACGATAATGCTATATATATATATATATATATATAACGCGGTGATGGATGGGTGCGCCCTTCTAATCTGATATTGTTATGACAATGCTACATCTCAACCTCATTAGCCTCACCCTACCCATCTTGCCATCTCCTTTTTCGCAAAGAAGCAAAGGAGAACCGGGAAAAACTTGTTTGACAATAAATGATGAGTGAACGCGTAAAAAAAAAAAAAAACAAAGTGGTGGACCATCCTGTATGCGGAAGAGGCTCCCAGTCTCTCTCTCTCTCTCTCTGTTTTTTCTTTTTTTCAAAGAATAAAAGCAGACTCATAAATTCAAAACGAGAATTACAAAGAAGTACTGCTTACAACTTGCAAGCTTCTTTTACATTTATCCGCCTCCCTTAGTCAAGATGAAGGATGGTTAAGATGCAGCTATGATGAGGCATACTTAGGAGGCTCAAGTCTTCAAAAGAAGCTAACCATTTTCTGGGAACGTGATCGACAAACAAAAATGCCCCTTTTCCTGGAAAAAAAGAAGAAGAAAAGAAATGGTGATGGCCTGTCACGGGAAGAAAATCCAACGACCATATATTGCCAATCTAGTAACACAATAATTAAAGGGTAGAAGGGAAGAAGAAGCGTTTGGTGCAGTAGATGGAGGCTGGAGCAGGCATGCATGTTACTTTTGCACTCTTAAGGCTGAATAGACAGCGACCGCTGACTGTCAGCACTCAGCACCATCAATTTTTCTCTGTTGGCCTTGTGTTCTACCAGAGGCCACGCTTTCCCTAATAAATATGGACAACAGATCAGGCCACCCAATGATATTACTCCCCTAAGCAACTGTTCTACATGTGGGCGTTGTGTGCTCCGTTTTGCTTTGTAAAGAATGACGGTGAAGAACTCGAATTGTGATGTCTATAAAGAATATGCCTGCGTGTTATTAATGAATTTAACTTGCCCGGTGATCAACTTCTGTAAAATAAAACCATGTATATATAGCTAGTAAAGTGCTGTACTATCAGCGACGAAGGGGAAGCCCATTACAGCTCAACTGAAAACCACGTGCCATCTTATGGACGTACCTCTCTGCCCCAGCATCCGGCATCCACACACAATTAAATATTACCTACTTCCTAATTATAAGACCTTGTTTATAGTCGACAAATGAGATATTATAAATAGGACCGGAGATAATATCAAACAAGCTTGTTTACAAACTTAGGCACTGAACCCTACAGGGGAAACACGACTTTACCCGGAAGGTCCGACTTATTGGGATGTATGTGGATATATTAGTTGTAACTTCAAGTTCAATGTGACCTTTCAACGATAATACAACAGATTATGGTCACCGTAAGAGTTCTTCGGCCCTAAGAAAGGGGTCCCTATCAAAGATGCGTGATCTTGAAAAAGAGCCGAGGCAGAAGCGGGTATAGGCAAGGAAGATTGCAGCATCTTCATGAACAAAAATGCCGATCTAGCTTACTTCATGCAAAGCGAAATAACAGTATGAACAGTGTAAAAAGGAGAGTACCTGCTTTGGATTTTGTACAGATTCTTCGCGAAGGCTTGAACTACAACTCCTCTTCAAGATGCGGGTAAGTGCAAGTCTTCTCTTGTTCATCAATATTCATGGGATTGTCGTACACATCACGGATGGCCCCCCGCGAATCCGAACTTCACTGATAGCTCTAAAAAACTGCTATAATTATTCCAAAGAAAGTTGTTGCTTCGTACTCCTCCAGTCCTAAATGTAAGACCCTTATACACACTTGTATAAATGTCTTATATCTAGGACCGGAAGAGTATTATTTTGAAGTCATTATTCAGTTAATAAAAATTACCGTTAATCATGTTGAAGTCGAATATATTTAATATGCATCATGAATTACACAGGGATCTAGATCTGAAACATCTATTTAATAAGGTACATATTTCAAAATAAGTATAAAACAACATGAAAATGTGATGTAAATCCCAAATACGAAAACTATGAAATATGTAATTTTATTTGTACTTTTATGGTCACCTCTTTATCTACAGAATAAGATCAAATTCTTCTCTGTTGATTTATGAAGCCGGAGCAACAAAAAAAGGGCGGAACAAATTGAGTCCATGATTTTGGAATTTAAATATATATATATATACACACACACACACACATAGAGAGAGAGAGAGTAAATTGAGTCCAGTAAGATCGGTCATTGGTGCCCAATAAGCCCAGACTTTAGGGAGCGTTGTCTGACTTACGTGATGTAATGGGCCAGCTAAGACGCAAACCCAAGAATTCCAAGAGGGAGGGTGAGTTTAAAAGCAAGAAACTTTTTGTACAAATTTATTGACAATTTTTTGAGAATATGGTATAATTTTTAGACATTTTTATATATTTTTTAAAAAAGATTGTTTTGAAAGTTTATTTTGTACGTTAGAAAAATGGCCCTTACAATCGCAGTCATCTTATTGAAAGTTACTCCTGCTCAATCACTGGAGGTAAAGAACACAGCATTCTAATAACGTTGGACATGAAAGGATATGCTGATGCAGTTCGATTAAAATTAAAGCGTTGTGTTTATGATGAGAAATGCGTGTAGATTAAAACATGATGGGTCATCCGTAGGAGTGCCTTGAAAGGCTGTATCCTGTATAGCACTAAATCAGGAAAGGAATATCGAGACACCACATCCATCTATTTTGAGTTTTTTTCCCCCCCGGGTGAGAATTCTGTATGAGACCATAGCCAAAGCTGTAACTGGTTCCGTGAGAGATCTTCTAAAACTGATTGTCTTGGATATTCTCAAATGCTTGGAGTGATTTCCCTGAGCAATTTGCTACGTGCCAGACAATAAAAGTTACCACCTTGGGAAAAAAAAAAAGAGAAGAAAAGAAAATTAGTGCAATAGGCAGATTTTCAAGTTTGCATTCCGACTTTTACATGGCTGACCTGAACATAGTGCTGATTTCGTCATCACACGCACACACACACGCATATATATATATATATACATATATTTGTTGGCATTAAGATATGTGCGAAGGGCGTCGGCGAACATCACATCCTCCCGTGAATGAGTCCGGGGGATTAGATGGCTGATGGGACGTAACTTCGAGTTGGAGAGAAAAAGGCCGTGACAGTTGACCATCGACGGACATCTGAAGAGCCTCTCGAATAATGCCTGCACAATTGGAATTTAATTCTATTTATCTGCATGTTTTAAATAAAAATAATTTATTGTTTAAAAATTATAAACTAGATATTTAAATATAGATTAAACAATTTAGATCTCATATGCTTTGCCCTTGCAAATGATCGTTATAATCTGATTTTTCCCCAAAAAAAAAATCTTTTTGTATAATTGTGCCTGATATCAATCAATTATATATGTGTGTGTTAATTTAATATAGCATTAATTATTTTTTTTACTCTTAATTTTGGCTGGTAAAATTTCTGAAGAAGGAAAAACAGACAAAAAAACAAATTAAACATATTAAAAAAGTTAAAAGAAATATCAACATACTAACAACACTAGGGGTGTGTTTGGGTCACACCCCAAACCATAGTTTGGAGATTAAGTCACCCAAACACCCACCCAAAAACCAAAGCCATGGTTTTGGAAAAAGCAAATTTTTTTTGTTTTTGGAGAAAAGAGGGAGAGTGTGAGAGCCTATAGGATATGTATCTTGTTATTTTTTTTATAAACATATTTAATATAATATTTTATAAATATATATACATATTAATTATTTATTAATTATATTATCTTATGTATTATTAATTATGTTGGTAAAAAATATATTATTAACAATTTTATTCCTTCAAATTAAAATATATCATAAAATCTATTTTTTTTGTAATTATCATATTAACTTATGTCTTTTTTTTAGTAATTTGTATATATAAAAAGTGCTTCTGATAACAACTATCCAAACACTCTTATTTCTCAGAATCACTTTTTTACAAAATCTATTCTTCACAGAATCTATTCTCCCCAAAATCTATTTTTCAGAATCACTTTTCTAAACCACGGTTTGGTTTCATCCAAACACACCCTAGTTCCCAATCTATTACATGAGAAAAAAAATCTCAGAATACGATTATTTAAAAAAAACAGAGAGAGAGAGAGAGCGCTCAGTGGCGATTGGATTTGGAGCGCTCCTTTGTTGATGGGTTTGATAGCGCCTCTCTCTCTCTCCCCCTCCCCCCTCTATCCTCGCCACCAAATGCTGTTCGATAAATGGAGCGTATCTGCGCTGTTTCAGATTGATACAGACACTGATGATTATTCGGGACTCATCGGATGAAATGTCGCTGTAATTGTTTGTCCCGTGAATGTTGGAAATATAATATAACGAAATTATGTATTCAAAATTTCACTCGCTAAGAGGGGAGCTTCCCTTGACTCGCTGCGCAAGAGGCCGATCGCGAAGAACCCTCAGAGTCAAACGTACGCGTGTGAAAACAAACGGTGTATTTGCAACCAACCTATTCGTAGCAAAACCTGTGAAAAACGAGAGCAATATGTAAATTAATTAGATGTAATAGTAACGGAGAAATTAGGACGCGGTATTCGATTATGAAACTAATTGCCTTGGGCATTGGGTTTTCTCGGAGCTTCTCAAGTCCCGTGCGAGCCAACCAATTAAGGGACGCACCCCCGGGCAACTTCCAATCCATCCATCCAATGACAAAAACAATCATCATGGAATATTCCTTCCCCACCCTGTTCTTTCGTAGAATGGCACGACCTCGTTTTAGCTAATTTATATATTGCTTCTGAATTACGTACTGCTCTATTTATGTTTGCAAGGCCCACACACAATTCTGTTATTTAATAATTGTGGAGGCTGCAAGTGAGCACCTTTACTCAAATGAAATCTCACTATCGGAAAATTCCGAGAAGAACAGAGGAGAGTGGCAGATTAAAAATGATTCTCCGAATTCAGGACTTTTTCATTAAAAAGAAGTACTTGGAGTCGGACGCATTCTCATTGGAACTAAATAAGAAATACTGAGTCGAGAGGAGAGGGAGGGATGGGAAGTGAGGCGAGCTGTGAACAGGATTTGCGGGCAACAACAAATAAGAAAAGGAGGTCATGTGACGATAGAGCATATGGTTTAATTGAGGAGGGCTGGTCATTTGAAAGGGCCTACGCTGCACCTGATCAGATGAATCTAGAATCTAAGGAGACGTCGAGTGATATAATTACCGACAAAATGGAGGCCATGTGCACAATGAATGAAGTGACTGGGGGAAGAGAGGGAGGGGTTGACGTCATGTGTGGGGTCGGGGGGATGGATGATTGATGCCGGCGCTCAGAGGGAGGGGGAGTGGCATTGTATAAGAGAGAGAGAGGGAATGGTAATGAGTTTGAAACAATCTTGGCATTCCCTCCCTGGGCACTTGGCAGTGGCGAGCACACTTTACCCTCAAATGAATTGCAGGTTCAAACGTATCTGCGTGTTCTGTGGCAGCAGCCCTGGCAAGAACCCCAGCTACCAGCGAGCTGCTCTTCAGCTCGCTCACCAACTGGTATTCCTTACTCGTCATCAACTCTCATTCTTCCTCCCATCCCATACAGCCCCTGCCTCTGCATTTAAAATTCCATTGAACTTGCGTTGTGTTGTCGCAGTGGCAGAGAGCGACACTATTGGGTAATTTCTTTGCTTTTTCCTTTAAATATGCAGGTGGAAAGGAGCGTGGACTTGGTGTATGGAGGAGGCAGCATTGGGCTGATGGGTTTGGTGTCACAGGCCGTCCGTGACGGAGGTCGCCACGTATTAGGGTACCTCTCATTTTCCCCCTGCCTCCCCCAATTCTTTATGAACTCAGCTCACTGTTGTTAATTATCGCACCCGCACGCTTTGTTCTCTTGTTTGCAGAGTCATTCCCAGGACACTTACGCCAAGAGAGGTGGGTTTTGTGTGTGTGTGTGTGTGTGTGTATTTGCAGTCATAATCACATGAATGTAATGGTTAATATAAAGCAGAGTAGGAGTAGGAATTGAGAAATGAGATTGGTTTTTGGGGAATGAATACAGATAACGGGAGAAACGGTGGGGGAGGTGCGAGCTGTATCGGGAATGCACCAACGCAAAGCCGAGATGGCTCGACAAGCCGACGCATGCATCGCCTTGCCAGGTTCTTTCCCTCTTGCCAGAAGCAAAATTAAAATAAAACACCACTCCCCATACTTTCCCATTTTGATTCATCCCCCAATAATTGACCCACTGCTCGTCACTTTCTCTTCCTTGCATCATCGCATGTCACTTTTTTTTCCCTTGTCATTCCTCGGAATCTCGATCGCTTTCTGATAAATGACTCATTGTTTGGGAAATCATATGTGCAGGTGGGTATGGCACCCTGGAAGAACTATTGGAAATCATCACCTGGGCTCAACTGGGAATTCACGACAAACCAGTAAGATTGGAAGAAAAACGCAACACCTATTTATCTATCTATTGTTAATTCCAAATAGGAATGCGAGGGGTTTATGATGATTAGGAGAGATGTGAGTTGTCAAAGAAATAATGATGACGTGGTAAATAAAAGAAGGAGAATGATTAACCAAAAAGAAAATGAAAACAATGGGTGCAGGTGGGCTTGTTGAACGTAGACGGCTACTACAACTCGTTGCTGTCATTCGTTGACAAAGCCGTGGAAGAAGGCTTCGTCGCACCCGCTGCCCGTCACATTATTGTGTCTGCCCAAACTGCCCACGACCTAATGTCCAAGCTCGAGGTACTCATCACACCGCTTAGATCATATCACAATAACTCTCCTAAAACACACACTGCTGCTTTCTACAATTAATATACTGGGATAAGATGTTTTTATGGATGTGATCACGTTTCAATGATACATGCATATCTCTCTACACGTGGCTCCCATGACACATCATGGATACTACGCAGTCAGCAATGATCTGAGCACTTCATTCCTTTACTTTGGGCAGGAATACACTCCCCAGCACCACGGGGTGGCCCCTAGGCTTGGCTGGGAGACGGAGCAACACTTGGTTTACACTGCAAAGTCAGACATCTCGCGTTGACCAAACACACAAACATGCAGCATCCTAGACGTCAACTCCACGCAGTAGTCCCCACAGTTCTTCTTCTGTTGATTAGCTGTGGATTCCTTGCCGCTTTTAAGATACAAGATTAAATGTGTGTGTGTGTGTGTGTAATGTCCTCTGTTCTCTTTTTTCCTGCTGTGATTTGGGACCGATGAAGCAGAATCAGAAGGGGATGATTCACTGTGCGCTGGAATCTGCCACATGAATAAAATCAATCAATAGTGGAGGAATTTTTCATGATATGGTGCATGACTGTTATAATAAATGAAGTTGAATAAGGCTCTTAATTAAAAAAGAGTGGTGGAAATGGGTAACGATTATGACATTTCGAAATTAAAAAGGAACCGCCCCTTCGGGGACATCTGATGAAATTAAAAAGGAACCAAAGAGTACGCAGGGGATGAATACATCGGAGGACATTATGCAGCGCACCTACTGCCATCGAGTCACAAACACATAGGGGGAAAGGGATCGTAGAAATGAATAATGCGAAGAGTCTGAGTTTGACAGCAATTGGTTTTTTTGGGGGGGGGGGTTGTTTGTAATTAAGTGATTTCATGAAAGATGGTGGTGAATGGTGATGCGCAGGGGAATAAAAGTTGAAGGCAATAAACTGCAGAAGGACACCTGTCCTTAACCGTACAGAGTATGGGGATGGAAGACTGGGGAAGAAAGGGAGATGGGGAGGAGCCTACCGATGAACCAGGAGGCATTGATGTCTTCCAGATGAAAAGGGCCTGCGGACATTGGACCGGCGAGTACCCACGTGGGTTTGGCCTTTTCCTATCGCAACTCTCCCTCCGTCGTTATCTCCTCTACTCTTTTATCTACCAGTGACGAGTCGGCTGGTGAGATCAACATTTCTTTTTTTTTTAATATAGATGAGAAATCGAAGGTTTGACCCTAATTATAATCCCAAACCGTCAGTATTTATTTCTTGATTTCTGAGAACAAAAGCTACTGAAAGCTCGTCTCCAAATCTCCAGATCGCTACTAATCAACGTGATGCCTTCTCTTTTTCCCGGATTCCGATCAGCACTCTCTGCATATCAAATTCATCAGCTCTATATGTGCCATATAGTGCCCTCTCTCAATTCTGACTCTTCGCTCGTACTTAGATGAGTCGATTAGCCTCCCCTTTTATACTGCTCAACTACAGCATGATGCCCTCAAACTCATTAAACTTCTCACTCCCATTTTATTATTCGTGAGCTTAATGTCCCTCCAAAAACCATTTTCTGCTCAGGCAAAGAGAGCTCCCAACCATCTTTGTATACAGATCTGAGAACGCAATGCAATTCCTTATCATAACATAATCATTTCAAAAAAAAAAAACAATTAATATATATTTTCAACACAGCTGCTCAAAGATGGTGAGCTGACAACGACAAATCAAATTTTCCCGTGCGTGGCAATGTATCCCGAACTAGCAAACACCACATCATACACTACAATACATACAATCAAGCATATTGGTGCACCATTACTTCGCCCCCTTCTAATTAGCTACAAAATGAATAAAGCTACAGCGAAATATGGTTGACAATTGACACTCGCACTCAAACATCCAGTTTACCTTCGGTTGCACGGAACTCAGGTTGCGGCCAGGAGAAGCTATAACTTTCAGGAAAAGGATTGAACTGCGGAGGATGTGGAGACTAAACTAGAGAAGAGGCCCACTGCAAGGGCAGTGTTATAGGTGCTTGGTTCGGCTTGCATGGAATTGTTCCTCGAGTCAATAAAAGTCTCATTTAAGAAGGGTCCACCAACAAGCGCACCAGTGGCTACATTGGGATTAGGAGCAGATGATTCGAGCCATTTGAAACCGTCTTTGCAACTAGGCTTTTCATCAGCAGGAATCGAAGCTCCCCTGTGATGCACGAATTTGGGGAATTTATCCCCATATCCCACGAGATAACTCATACGCATAGGATTATTGCCCAGGACATAATTAGCCTGCACAAGTAGCAAGAAGTTTTCAATTTGGAGAGGGATCACGTGTTACAGAATAGTTGAAGTTCCGTGAAAATGATAATGGAAGGTTACCTGAGATTTGGCAAAGTCCCGGAGATCTTCTGGGCTGAAAGAACCCGAATCACAACTTAATTTGTGAGTCTTCGAAGTAAGCATATAATCACTGTAAAGAGTAGCTAAGAATGCTGAAGCAACAGGTTGTTGCAGAGAGTTCCATTGGCTGACCCATATGAGACCATCTGTATCATAGATGAAGAAAACTAATTACTGAAGACACAACGGTAAAATTATCAGCACGATAATGAAATTTGATATTAATCATTGACAACATGCCTATCGGACGATCATGGAATGTTAAGCTGATGTTAAGAATGTGTAGTGCAAAGACAAAAACATTTTTAACATGACTATGCAGAAATAGCTTTTATTGGAGAGCATTACTATCAGTTCTGCTTTTTGTGGCAGTCGGAGAATCTGGCAGAAGGCCGCACATTACAGCCTCAGCCGTTTTCCTGTAACTTTGGAGACCAGAGCCATATGAGTCGGAAATATCATTGGCCCTAAAGAAGCTTAATCTGGATAACAAAACCTGCTCCCAGAAAAGACTAGTATTAAAGATTAAAAAAAAAATCCAAAGAAAAACCAATTCTTCATTACTGCTGAAAGCAAAGCATCATCTAAGGTGAAGGAAACAGTGCTCGCAATTAAGCTAAACCCTGTTATGAACACAATTTTAATTTCAAGCCACTAGTTTCCCCTAGCCTTCTTTATGTCCCATCTGGGAATGTGATCCGTGGGTTCTAATCAGCATCCAAAGCCCATTTTCAACTGACGCATTCATGTAATTTATGATGATCTCTGGCTAAAAGATACGCATTAAAACAGGGCAAAGATTGGAATTCACCAACAATAAAGGAGAAATCTACCTGGGTTCCGGCAAGCTTGTTGTCCCAACTAAACCAGGTTGGAGTCCCCATTGAGCATAGTCTTCTCCCTTTTGGCCGGTCACATACTGAAGATATGAATGATCATTTGTAGCATGATAGAGCCAGCTAGCTGCCCACAAGAGTTCATCACCATATCCTGTTGAATTATAATACGTCTGGACTTCAGGAATGCTCTTACTATATAATTCCCTGTTCTTTTCCGCAAAATTAAACAACTCTTTTGCATGCTTGAGGAGCGTGCTTGAATATGTAGAATCAGTTTTCTTAAAGACCAAAGATGCTGAGGCCATGGCTGCTGCAGTTTCAGCTGCTACATCTGTTCCAGGACTAGATGTGTTGACCTGTATAAGTGGTCGTGCCTCAGTCATGTCTTCAGGCCTATCCCAGCATGCATGATCTGCCTCAGGATCACCCACCTGCCAAACAATAAATTTTAAGAAATGAAATAGATCAGATTAGGTCATCATGAATCCAGCTTGCTAAAGGAGTGGGCTGCTGAGAAAGTTCTAACACCAAAAGAGAAAGGCTGAAAGCAGCTGGCACATGAAGGCAAAGAATAATTCATATTTATATGAACACTATCCCTTGATCAGTCCTGTACAATAATCACCACAATGCAGTGAAGTCTGAAAAGCATGAATAAGAATAATAGAAAGATAAAGGAACAGTATTAAAATTTAAAAAAAAAAAAAGACAATATAAAAACAATCATTTTCTAATCTCACAGCATGCCATGGCATTAATACCACAAACACAAAATTAGAGAATGCATCTGTCTAAGACTATCCGAGAGTCATGGAGCATTTGAAATTTATGCCCACACAATAGCTAACTTGCACATAATGCTGGCATCAAATGGAAGTTGAAAGCTCTGACAACCCACCCAAGAAAAAAAAATTGAGTTAAAGCTACAGTACCTGAACGTAAAGCACATTCTCAGAAGGATGAGCCTTGATGAGATAGTCAGTGATCCACTTGAGTGATTCCTTAGCAGGTTGCAACTGCGAAACTTTATCCATATTATTTCCATATTCCAAGATGGCCCAAGATAACACGGTGGCAGTAAATGCCATTGGAAAACCAAACTTCATGTGATCCCCAGCATCGTACATCCCTTTTGATAAATCCAACTTTGCTTGACTTCCATCTTTAAGAGCAGAGTCCCCTCTCCAGGATATTTTGTTGTCAGCCAACTTACCAGCTGCATTGAGGAATTATGGACTTAACTAGTACATAAAGTAGGGATAAAAAAATTATGAAATCTAAGCAATAGCATAGCAGACCATGATTGAAGTAATCAAGGAAATTCGAAAGACCAACAAATCTATGGAATTTTTATTGAAAGAAACATATACGATCTCTTAAAGAGATTAGTGTTGTGACCTACAAATCAAAGGGGCAGAATACCACTATTTTAATAAATAAAAATAAAGATGAAAATTAAGAAACGCCAGGCAAAAGAATACAGATGTTGAGACTTGGTTTGTTGGCTCAATTAGTATGCTTCAGAACAAACACGAATACTTGGAACAAAAACGAAATAAGAAGCCCATATAATTTCAGATCCCAACTATGTCATACGCACAACGAGGCAGTCAGGAACCGAGAAAATGAAACTCCCTCCTGGGAAGGTGGAACATAATGAAGAAAAGGGATAGAAACTAATCAATCACATAGAAAAGTAACAGATAAAAAGGAAAACGAAAAATGATCTATACAAATGAGTGATGCATTTTTGATGGGGGAAAAAAGGGAGAAACGTTACATTTTTGTATATCGAAGAACTGCATTGAGAGTTTGAGAGCGGAGGCATAATCTTCGTCGTGGGCGCTCTTATGGTGGTGACCAAATTTCTTTACTAACGCATATGCAACGGCGCCGACGACGATAGCGAGAACGACAAACGCCACAAACCAGCCACAACAAGATCCCCCGGACCTCGACTTTTCAGCCATTTCAGAAAATGCGCTTTGATTACCGCGTCAGCCCCCGGATCTATGCCAAACTCAACACATTGTTAAAAAACAAGGGCGACTTCCAAAGTGCCCGTGAAGCGCAACGTGGGAGAGAAATTGATAGATGCCTGACAGCGAGAAAGAAGAGAGATCTAGCTTTGGACGACAGCTACGTTTGGAATGCAGTTATTATACAGGCTTGAACATTGACTTGAGATGCATGGAATTAAAATTGGAAAACCTTAAGCAAGGAAGCAAGCGCCAGCAACAGAATAGTGGAAAAGATGGATCTAAACTAACCAGGGGTACATATGACCCGACCCGAACGCAAGGTGGGGGAGAGTGGAAACTGAAAATGGCGGGCTCCGAGGATCACCGACGAGAAGTTATACTCGAGGCATCCCTTCTTTAGGTA